AACAATCATTAATGACCTTTGTGATTAAAACGGTTTCTTGCAGGCCGTATGAAAGTATTATATATGAATATAACAGCTACATATTTCATGAGCAGTAGCACAAAGACATTCAATGAAATATTTTTTAAAGTTATTGTAGGTTATCTCCTTGCAAAGGCAGATGAGTGAAGCACTCAGTTTCCAGCTACATGTTGCACTGTAGCACAGGGCCAATTAATTAGTTTTTTAAAGTTATTGTTATCTTCTTGCAAAGACAATTGAGTGGAACACTGAGTTAGTTATAGCCTATTACGCCATTTTAGAAAAAACAATTAATTATCTTTCTAATTAAACCAGTTTTCTGCGAACATGCAAACAAAAAAGAAAAAAATGTAACAGCTACGTATTGTAAAAGCAATAGCACAAAGGGATCTAATTATTTTTTAAAGTTATTGTTATCTTCATGCAAACACAGTTGAATGGGACTCTTAGTTTCTCTGTTACATATTTATTATCCTGCTACATCATTGTTTCACAACGAATAACAATTATCGTTCTGATTAACACAATTTTCTTGCCACTATACAAACAAAAATTATATATAATAGCCATATTTTGCATAGGCAGTAGCTGCATTTTGTTAGTTATACAATATTTTTACCAATTTTTCAATTAAATAACACTAGATGTAGTAATATTGTCAGTAAATGATATCCCATAATAAACTTATTTGTAAACAAATTGTGACTTCGTCAATTTTCCATACTCTGTTCATTCCAAACTCCTATTGCCTTTTCCCCCTTTTCTAGCTTGGATTTCAGACGATTACTTCGACTCATTTCCCCCCTGAGAGAGTAAAAACAACTCAAAGTAATCGTCTCAAATTCCGGCTACACCTGTTCTTATCTGAATTAAAAGACTATTAGAACATAAAAACAGTCAACACATACGGTATCGCCCATAAAAATTTGCAAATAAAAATAATGGTGTGTTTCATTGTGATAGGAACCTAAAGAAAGGTGCCACGCAGCATATAAGCCAGCACAACGTAAACAAGCCTGCTCTGAATTTATTTTGAAAAAGAAACATCAGAAACTTTATTTATTCAAAAGAACAGATCAGTATTCTGGCCAGGAAATTTCCTTGAAGATTGCTTGAGTCAGTACCAGTATTGACTGGTATTGGTAGCATTGTGCTTCAGAGAATTGTTTGTCGCACTGATAGGTTAAATTTTATTTGTAAGTGCCATTGTAAACTGAGCTCCTGTGAGTGCGACGCTGTAATAAATCCTCCTTCGCTAATTAGCTTCACAGTGCAGCAGCTGTTTTGTTGGAACCACTTTTAAGATCATTCATGGTTTTGGTTCTCCTCAGGCCTGGGTTCCCCTCGTGAATCTAGCGAAGCTTATCAGTTGCCAAGTCTTATACTTTGTGTGTACAGTGCGACCTAGCGCACAAGTAGTTCTCGACAGATCAGTCAAACACATGTATTAGTTTAGTTTAGTTTTACAAGCTTTTCTGGACACAGGCCTGCCCAGAGGGAATGGGCACGAATGGGACTCATAGGTCCGATGCAAGGTGCCATCCCTACCCAATCCCATAATCCGTAAAGGTTGGCCACACCACCGGGGTCTACGTCCCCTAGTCTTTTCGAACAGTAGTGTGGGTTCTTTTACGTCCCACAAGAACAGGTCAGTGAAAGTGCTGTGAGTCGGGACCTACGATTTTTCGTCCTTATCCGAGAAGACTAGAAAGTCTAACCATTTGCAGATGTCATTACAAAGGCAGCACTTTCTTCTTAGTTATTTAAAGACCCTAAGTGTTGGTCCGGCCGGGGTTTGATTTGCACCCACGACCTCCCGCTCAGCAGACCGGCACTCTCCCAACTGAGCTAACCAGAGATGTCAAAGTAACGCAGAAATTCTCCTTTAAAGCATAGTGAATATAAGTCAACTCGATAATCTCAAAAGTAGAAGCTGCTGAACCGAAACATGTTTGGAAACCATCCACATCGAGCGCTGCGATGTTCATCTTGCGCGTGCTGAAGATTACTGATCATGATATGTCACGTACGCAGTGATAATACTAGTAATAGTTGTCACTACAGCCGCCCCCGTGATGCAAAGTGTGGCATTATTCACTGCTCCTTCTTCGAATTAAAATCATTGTAGTCAAATTCCTTTTAAAAATAACCACTTTGAAAATACAAAGTGATCGCTTCGGCATAACATGCTCTCGAAAGCGCCCAACAGATTGTAGCCTTCAGCAGACTTTACCCATATATTATCACACATGGCGTTGAAATGTGATAAAAGATTTGAAATTTCAGCCATCTTTGGTCGATAAAAAAGTCTTCAAAATGTGGGTACTTCTGGGTACTTCTTAGCCTGTACAATAATCAGTACTTCATTTTGCTGGCGTGAGGTCCACATTTTGAAGATTTCAACATATTATATTCCGAAAAACGTTGAATATTCATGACCTTGTTGTGAACACTTTGTGATGGGAAGACTAATTGAAACCATGAAAATAAGTGTTTCTATCAGAAAACTTCGCTCTTAAGGACGGTGCCCACTAATGGGAAGTATTTTTTCCCAGATAATGAATTGAAATCCAAAAGGAAAACTGGGGGTAACCACACAGTTTTCAGAGATAACTGCACTTCAATAAGGAGAAAAACGCTGAATAGGCATTTTTTGGAGTGTACACGTGAACTGGCACAAATGCAATGATAATTGTAACAAGGTTTCAAAATAAGCAACAAATGATAACATAACAACTGCTCTTTATACGTCTTTTTTTGAAATATCAGCACAACTGGGAAGTTATCAGCAGTTACCCCTCTGCACGCGTTTGCCTAAAAAATAGTGTAAACAACATTTCCCCCGGACCAAAAATTGATGGTTTGCTGAGTAGGCTAATTACTTTCATTTGGTAAGACAAAAATAGGGGTTACCGCGCGTGTTTAGAGGTTAAATTGGCTGGTTTCTACCTTAACTTAATTGCTTTGGGGGTTATTTACAATTTTCCCCATCCCCTCCCCCCTCAGTTTCACTATTGCTTCACTCAATGCGGAGTACTCTGGGATATCCACAATGGCTAACAGTCAGAGAAAACAACAACACACGGAAAAGAGAAAAAACAGAAAGTGAAGCAGGACATTTCATGGACTCTAAGGAAAACAAATTATACTATTTCATTCAACTGGAGCTTCTCTGTCTCAAACATTTAACAAAATTTTTTGGAGAAGAGCAATCTCCAAGGTATTCAAGATTACTTGCAGCACACATAGAGTAGTATGGTGAGCTCAAGATCCACGGCTGGTGCTGTAAACAAACTACTGTACTGTAGTGGAAAATGGTTGACAGGGTTTGCAGGCCGTATGAAAGTATTATATATGAATATAACAGCTACATATTTCATGAGCAGTAGCACAAAGACATTCAATGAAATATTTTTTAAAGTTATTGTAGGTTATCTCCTTGCAAAGGCAGATGAGTGAAGCACTCAGTTTCCAGCTACATGTTGCACTGTAGCACAGGGCCAATTAATTAGTTTTTTAAAGTTATTGTTATCTTCTTGCAAAGACAATTGAGTGGAACACTGAGTTAGTTATAGCCTATTACGCCATTTTAGAAAAAACAATTAATTATCTTTCTAATTAAACCAGTTTTCTGCGAACATGCAAACAAAAAAGAAAAAAATGTAACAGCTACGTATTGTAAAAGCAATAGCACAAAGGGATCTAATTAGTTTTTAAAGTTATTGTTATCTTCATGCAAACACAGTTGAATGGGACTCTTAGTTTGTCTGTTACATATATCCTGCTACATCATTGTTACACAACGAATAACAATTATCGTTCTGATTAACACAATTTTCTTGCCACTATACAAACAAAAATTATATATAATAGCCATATTTTGCATAGGCAGTAGCTGCATTTTGTTAGTTATACAATATTTTTACCAATTTTTCAATTAAATAACACTAGATGTAGTAATATTGTCAGTAAATGATATCCCATAATAAACTTATTTGTAAACAAATTGTGACTTCGTCAATTTTCCATACTCTGTTCATTCCAAACTCCTATTGCCTTTTCCCCCTTTTCTAGCTTGGATTTCAGACGATTACTTCGACTCATTTCCCCCCTGAGAGAGTAAAAACAACTCAAAGTAATCGTCTCAAATTCCGGCTACACCTGTTCTTATCTGAATTAAAAGACTATTAGAACATAAAAACAGTCAACACATACGGTATCGCCCATAAAAATTTGCAAATAAAAATAATGGTGTGTTTCATTGTGATAGGAACCTAAAGAAAGGTGCCACGCAGCATATAAGCCAGCACAACGTAAACAAGCCTGCTCTGAATTTATTTTGAAAAAGAAACATCAGAAACTTTATTTATTCAAAAGAACAGATCAGTATTCTGGCCAGGAAATTTCCTTGAAGATTGCTTGAGTCAGTACCAGTATTGACTGGTATTGGTAGCATTGTGCTTCAGAGAATTGTTTGTCGCACTGATAGGTTAAATTTTATTTGTAAGTGCCATTGTAAACTGAGCTCCTGTGAGTGCGACGCTGTAATAAATCCTCCTTCGCTAATTAGCTTCACAGTGCAGCAGCTGTTTTGTTGGAACCACTTTTAAGATCATTCATGGTTTTGGTTCTCCTCAGGCCTGGGTTCCCCTCGTGAATCTAGCGAAGCTTATCAGTTGCCAAGTCTTATACTTTGTGTGTACAGTGCGACCTAGCGCACAAGTAGTTCTCGACAGATCAGTCAAACACATGTATTAGTTTAGTTTAGTTTTACAAGCTTTTCTGGACACAGGCCTGCCCAGAGGGAATGGGCACGAATGGGACTCATAGGTCCGATGCAAGGTGCCATCCCTACCCAATCCCATAATCCGTAAAGGTTGGCCACACCACCGGGGTCTACGTCCCCTAGTCTTTTCGAACAGTAGTGTGGGTTCTTTTACGTCCCACAAGAACAGGTCAGTGAAAGTGCTGTGAGTCGG